GTTTTAATTAAGAAAGGACTTGTATCACTGAAGTTCCTCGGAAAGAATTTATACCGGAAATTAACTAACGAGCAGATACGCAACACTACTTTGTGATAATACATAAATGTTTCACAACTTACTTATGTACTTAACTGAGCCTTTAGATACAAGTAAATTAAAAAGAAACTGAAAATGTATGTAGTCACTAGAAAGGATTTATAAGTTAAAGTTATTTGTATACTCGTTGTGAAAACAAACCCCAAACTGAGATTCGTAATTTAAAATACCCGATTTGATGTCTAAAGAAGTCAACTATTGAACTATAACAAAAACAATGTTACTTACCTGCATGAATATACGTCATTCATTATTATGATATCATAATTACCTGAATATACACCATTCATTATTCTATGATACCATAGTTACCAATATAAGTTTAACATAACAGCAAATGTACAATGTTTCGACAAGGTTTTGTCATCACGTTAAACTTATATTAAAGCCGTCTCCAACCATTATTAGTCTTAAAGTGGCTTCCTCGTCATCGAAATTAAATATTTATTTTATCATTTGTTTGTTTTGTACGTGGATTTTAGCAATGGCTACCAAACAGACTCAGAAGAAGGAGAGAGATGACTATATACACAATGTATCAAAGTCAAAAGGTGAGAGTTTTAGAAAAAACCTACAATATGATAATAATAAGTTTGTTTGATGAGTAAGAAAGCATTATTTAACTATTATAAACTAATTTTTCGTCGTGAGCAATGCCTATAACATCATTTCTTATCGTTTAGTTTATACAATTAATTTGAAAATATTTTATGGCTAACACATTTGAGCCACCAATAACAATACATGATTATAAATATTATCATACGACGTTAAATTTCCATAATTACATATTGCTACCCGAAACTGGTAATGATTTTTAAAGTTTAAATTAGGTCTGTGTTTTATTTTATTTATATTGGATAAGAAGATAATTCTCTTGGAGAATATTTTTTATTTTCCCATCGATTGGATAGAATATTATAAACGATAGTTCCGAAGTGTCCGTTTTAATTTAGTTTACATATAGTTACTTATTATTTATTCGAATTTCTAAAAATAAACAAATGAGAGACGCCATTTGTTATAAACCCTTATATCTTTACAGTCTGACAGAACAACAACAACAAAATGTACTTTTGCTTTTAGAGTTGATCATGAGAGCATTACCAGTTCTACCCTTTGCTTTTAATTGTTATTCATTGCAACACTAATAAACCCACATTTTACTTTTAATTGTTATTCATTGCAACACTAATAAACCCACATTTTACTTTTAATTGTTATTCATTGCAACACTAATAAAGCCACATTTTACTTTTAATTGTTATTCATTGCAACACTAATAAACCCACATTTTACTTTTAATTGTTATTTATTGCAACACTAATAAACCCACATTTTACTTTTAATTGTTATTCACTAAAACATTACTAAACCTACATTTTACTTTTAATTGTTATTAACTAAAACATTACTAATTCTACCTTTAACTTTTAATTGTTATTTACGACAACATTACTAATTCTACCTTTTAATTTTATTCACGATACCATTACTAATTCTGCCTTTTACGTTTAATTGTTATTCGTTGTAACATTACTGGACCTACATTTTACTTTTAATTGTTATTCATTGTAACATTACTAAATCTACATTTACTTTTAATTGTTATTCACTAAAACATTACTAAACCTACATTTTAATTTTGCTTGTTATTCACTAAAACATTACTAAACCTACATTTTAATTTTACTTGTTATTCACTAAAACATTACTAAACCTACATTTTAATTTTGCTTGTTATTCACTAAAACATTACTAAACCTACATTTTAATTTTACTTGTTATTCACTAAAACATTACTAAACCTACATTTTCTTTAGTTGTTATTTACGACAACATTACTAAACCTACATTTTAATTTTACTTGTTATTCACTAAAACATTACTAAACCTACATTTTCTTTAGTTGTTATTTACGACAACATTACTAATTCTACCTTTTAATTGTTATTCACGATAATATTACTAACCTATATTTGACTTCTGATTATTATTCACTAAGAATGACTAAATCTGCATATTACTTTTAATTGTTATTCACGATGACATTATCAGTTACTACGTGCTTTGCAGATATTTTTGACGTATTTAAATGCTACTTCTTATGAGTAGTAAGCTTACACCCGAGAAGGATGTCATTTCACGTGTGTCTTCTTGTAATTTAAATCTTGATTTGATGTTCTAATTTTTATTATGTGGCAATACTTATTGAAGATTGTCTGTCTCTCTGGAAATATCGTATTTTATGACAGCTTAGAGTGTTTATATTTCTTGATATATCGTATTTTACTATAGTTTAGTGTTTATATTTCTTTATATATCGTATTTTATTATAGTTTAGAGTGTTTATATTTATTTATATATCGTATTTTACTATAGTTTAGAGTGCCTGTATTTCTTTAAATATTGCATTTTATTATAGTTTAGAGTGTTTGTATTTCTTTAAATATCGTATTTTATTATAGTTTAGAGTGTTTATATTTCTTTAAATATTGCATTTTATTATAGTTTAGAGTGTTTGTATTTCTTTAAATATCGTATTTTATTATAGTTTAGAGTGTTTGTATTTCTTTAAATATCGTATTTTATTATAGTTTAGAGTGTTTGTATTTCTTTAAATATCGTATTTTATTATAGTTTAGAGTGTTTATATTTCTTTAAATATCGTATTTTATTATAGTTTAGAGTGTTTGTATTTTTTTAAATATCGTATTTTATTATAGTTTAGAGTGTTTGTATTTCTTTAAATATCTTATGATGGTCTTCCGATGTGATTATAGCGGAAACTAAATATTAGCATTTATTTAATAAGTTATAGCAAAAATACTTCAAAGTATTTAAGAGAAAAAGAAAAACATTGCATCGAGTTGTTTAATACTATGTAGAAAATAATTCGTGAAACTTTCGAAACAATTTATTTTTTTAGAATATATATTATTATTTGGAGTTACAAAAGTTTAGCTCTTTACTTCCGCCTTTACAAAACGAAATCTCTTCAGTAAACATTTTTGTTTAGTATTAAGAAAACTAATAGAAAAATGTATTTTTAGAGTTGAGTTTGCTTGTCTTTTAGTAAAAGAAACTTTAATGTAATTGCTTTAGAGTGTAAATAAAACAATTTTTAATTTCAAAGAAATTTCTAAACAATTTGCTCTTCATTGTTGTGTAGAAGACGTCAGACAATTATGGTGACTTAGGCTTAATATTTACGTGATATAGAATCATGAGTTAAGACTAAAAATAACGTAAACCAAATCATTCTTCACTAAAGACAGGTGTGACTGAAATTATGACTTGTCTTAAATGGGGTATCGTATCATACATACATAAAAAATAAACATCAAGTTCTAAGACAGCGGTTTGTGTGTGTGTGTGTCTTTCTTATAGCAAAGCCACATCGGGCTATCTGCCGTGTCCACCGAGGGGGAATTGAACCCCTGATTTAAGCAGTGTAAATCCGGGGGACAACAACGGTTTTCAAGCTGTGGCCCTGCACCACTGGTTGTCCGAGGGCTTCCTTCAGGTGGTGTGTGGAAATGTTGGATAATTCCGGGAAAAAAAAGAAATTGTCAGAATGATGTTTAGATGTCGTTGTAGCCCGCTGAGAACCACTGCCCTGGGTCTTGTTGAATCATGGTGATGTAAAGTTCGAGAAATGTCACGTACAAAAACAAATTAAATATTTACTTATTTGAGTTTATTTAATATTTCATAAGGTTAGAATTTAGAAAAAAATGATGTATTTCTCTAGTTGTTAAAGGAGACAATTGCCTATGGGAATATTTTTACGACATTTTATATTTAATGTTGTTGTTTTTTTCAGATCTGCACGAACTTACAAACAGCACTTCTTCCGAGAGTAAAAATCTTAATGTACCAACCACTAACTCTTTAACTGATCAGTCTCGGCTATCGCCAACAGTCAAGGGTGAGTTTCTTTCACAAATTTGAGTTTCACAAGAAGACCAGGTAGCGTTAAATCAAAATAATAATATGACTCTCCAACAATACTGTGTAGCTGATTAAGGCTAGTGATTTTTTTTACTGTTGAATTACAGTGATTTCACGTGTTCCAAAGGTAAAGACTTTATGCTAAACCATACTTAAACTATTCGATAGAAGGTTGTGTGAGCTGTTTAGTTTAGTAGACTTCTGCTTGTGTTTACCCATCAATAATGAATTTGTATCTTGTATTTTTCTCTTGCTTTAATGTCGGGCGTGGTCTAGCGGCTAAAGTGCCAGGACGTGAATCTGATGATTCGTGGTTCACTTTCTGATATTACAAAATTACACTTCGCAATTTGTGACAGTAGGTGCGCTTTAAGAGTGACAACCACATTCCAGATTTCAAGTCTCAAACTTGGCTCGGCATGGCCAGGTGGTTAGGGTGCTCGACTCGCAATCTGTGGGTCACGGGTTCGAATCCCCGTCATACCAAACATGCTCGCCCTTTCAGCCGTGGGGGCGTTATAACGTGTCGGTCTATCACAAGATGGTGTAGTGTGTGCGTTATAAGAGTGACAGTCAAACCACGCTACTCGATTAGAGTAGCCCAAGAGTTGGCGGTGGGTGATGATGACTAGCTGCCTTCCCTCTAGTCTTACACTTCTAAATTAGGGACGGCTAGCGCAGATAGCCCTCGTGTAGCTTTGCGCGAAATCCATAACAAACAAACAAGTCTCAAAAGTTGGCGGTGGGTGGGTGCTATTTACAGCTGTCTTTCCTCTAGTCTATCAGTTCAAAATTAAAGAAAAATAAGCACAGATAGCTCTTTGTGTGGGTTTTCACGAAATTCTGGAGCAAGTAAACAGTCTTCTGCTTTGGACGAATATATATTAAGAAATCACAAGAGCATTGTATAGTGAACATTTTTCAATCAGTTTTATATAATTAATAATTCTTTAAAATGTATTTTGTTTCAACACCTGACTTCCTTAGAAGAAGTTAGTATTTGTTTATTGAATTTTACACAAAACTACATGAGGTCTGTCCCTAATTTAGAGGGAAGGCAGCTAGTCGACACCATCCACCACCAAGTCTTAGGCTTTTCTTTAGGAACGAATAGCGGGATTTACCGTCACATATTAACGCCACCAAGCCTGAAAGGACGAGCATGTTCGGTGAGGAGATTCGAACCCGTGATATGCAGATTGCGAGTTGAGTGCCCTAACCACCAGGCCATGCCGGGCAAAGAAGTTAGTAGCCGCAAGAAGTGAAATAATTTAAGTAAGTTTTTATACAAACCAATTAAAAATTTCGTTTGCATTTTTCTTCTTACAGAATCGAAAGGAAACCTACCCAAATCTGAAGGATTGGACAAGATGAACAAAAACAGTAAACCTCGTCAGCGATCGGACGTGAATTTTAACACCAGTAGGTGGTTTTTTTGCAAATGTAAAAATAGTTTTGCATCTTTTGTTCAGGTTCTGAACTAATAAACTAGAGTTATATCTCTATGTAAATATATACATATAAGAAAACAAAGAAATACGTTAAGAATACGCTAGATATTAAACAACAACGAAAGCTTTATAATTGTTTCGAATTTAATGTTTACTTTACAGAAGTAGATTAAAGTTTTACAAACCAGAGTGAACATATAAATTAAAAAACATTTGGACTGACAAACGGTCGATATATATCATTTGGTTTTGAATGTGGTATTATAGTTTCAAAGAAAGGTGGAATTAAGTTTATAAAGTTTATTGAAACGAGTCATAGAATCAAAATAGTGTGAGAATAGTAATGCTGGTGAGCGCGTGTTAAAACGAGTCATAGAATCAAAATAGTGTGAGAATAGTAATGCTGGTGAGCGCGTGTTAAAACGAGTCATAGAATCAAAATATTGTGAGAATAGTAATGCTGGTGAGCGCGTGTTAAAACAAGTCATAGAATCAAAATATTGTGAGAATAGTAATGCTGGTGATCGCGTGTTAAAACGAGTCATAGAATCAAAGTATTGTGAGAATAGCAATACTGGTGATCGCGTGTTAAAACGAGTCATTGAATCAAAATATTGTGAGAATATTAATGCTGGTGAGCGTGTGTTAAAACGAGTCATAGAATCAAAATATTGTGAGAATAGTAATGCTGGTGAGCGCGTGTTAAAACGAGTCATAGAATCAAAATATTGTGAGAATAGTAATGCTGGTGAGCGCGTGTTTGAAGTTGCCATCTAATTTGAAATTTTGTCAAATAAAATTTCGTCTAGACAAACAAATGAAAAGTAGAAGTTCGGGAAAAATAAGGCTTAACAATGCTGTTAATTTCATTTTGACGTATTTGTATGAAATAAGGTTTTGTTTTAATTATTGTTCATTTAACACAACGTCACATAAAATCAAATACAAAAATAATGCACAAGATGCTTATGAAACTAGTATGGGTATCTATAACCATCTGTAGGGCGAACTGTATAATATGTGACAAAAACGTATTGTGTACGTGCATAAGGAATGACAAAAAGTACGTTCCATTGGTTTCTGCCACAAGGATCGTCATTATAGTCCGTCATCTTTTTTTTTTTTATTATTGCCTCCATCCTGAAAAAGGTATTGGGCATTACAACACATGACATCTCCAAACATGTGATGCAATAGCATCCTCCAATTGAGGAATGACTGCTGGTGATAGACATGTATCTTCAGAATGTTATAACCAGTAATTAGCAGGGGAGTGGAGTCATAGCTTAGTGGTCAGCCATGATTGAGGTGACTATTGAGGTTTTTCTAACCTATCAGCTTACAGCAACAACTGTGCACATCTTGTGTAGGCCCACTGGCGGTATACCTAGAGTGTTGTGACTGTATTGGAACCATTAACCTGATACGTTTTCTTTTTCCAAACTTAACACTACTTTATACTTATATACCATCCTTATTTGCAAGTGACGTCCCTAGTGCCTTTTCCAAAAATCAATGTAATGGTCTTTCGTCTGTTTGCCACAAATTGTTCCATACCCAATACTAACCTCATAACCACCTCGTACAAACTGTTCCAAATACCCACACTAACATTTTGGTCATTCTGTATTAACAGTAGTTAGAACATTGTGTTTTTAGCTTTCCTATAACAGAACCATGTTGCATTGTACTGTAGTTTTTCTTTTTTCGATTTCCTCGTAACTAAACTAAAAGGAGCACAAAAGCATTCCAGATTAAGTGTGTCAAGTATTTGATTAATCCGTAATAGTAATCCATCATTAATCCTTAACGTAGTGTTTTGAACTGCAGGTTATCGTGACGAACATAGCGTATACATTCACCTCTGTAATAAAAGTCGAAAACACAGCAAGATCACAACATTAAACTGCAGCGCTTTAGGACACATTTGTCATTTTAAAGTCATCAGCTATACAATAAAGGATTCGCTCGTTAAAACCAACATTTCTTTGCAATAATTTGAAGATTTACACATAAAGTTGTTTATTAATGTACTAATTGTTTGGATCAGATGTATTCCTAACAAATAGATGGACTTTAATTGGCAGACGTGTTAGGAGCATAAAGGAAAATTCCACAATGATGGCCGCCCTCTGCTAACATCAAGTTCGTACTTATGCAACCTGGGTGTTTTCCTCTTCGGAATAATCCATTTTTTTTTCCAAATTATTTTTCAAAATACTTATTCAATGTTTGATTTAGCGCAAAGGTATACAATAGGTTATCTCCGCTCTGTCCATCACAGGGAATCGAACCCCAGATTTTAGTGAGTTGTAAGTCCATAAACTTACCGCTGACCCGCTGAGGAACATTTATTCTAGGACATCTCGTAATAAGAGAGTTTTTCTCAACTTCTGAACGTTTAAACCAAATTGACGCGTCAAATAATATTCTTTTAATAATGTGATGTAACATTTAGTTTCCTTAACATCTGTCAAAAACAAAAGAAGTAGCTATCGATAAATATCAGGACTTGTTGACAGGACGTCATCCTTGATGTGTGGAAAAGAACAATAAGAATATACACAAAAAATGGGTTTATAGAACGTTAAAACAACTTTAATAGCAAGTTCAATTTTTATCCTATTCTTAGAACTATTTTCATGTCAGATTTAATTATTTTACTAAAATTACTTACCTTCAACACTTAGAACAAAAAACAAAAGGTAGAAAAAGTAGAGGTGTAAGAGGATCAGTTTAGATTCCAGAATCCAAGTAATTATAAAACGAAATCCAGTCCGAGCGCTGTAGTAGGATAAGCCTAAGATTGATAGACTTGAAATTAACGTAATCAGAGGAACTATCATCATACATAAATTCCCGCCTTTAAGTTCCGCCTAATCAGTCAAAAACAGTTCGTTCTCAGAATGTAGCACTGCTCTGCCATCTATCGTACTTTATCTATTTTCAATATAACACTTTTCACATGTAACTATTTTATTTGCTCGGTGTGTCTAATAGATCATTTGTGTTTTTACAGCAAACACATGCGGTGGTATCTTTCCCGATACTAAGAACGTTTATGCTTTGGTTTGGTTGGCTGTCTATAGTTGGACTAGTCAGCTTTGAAGAACGTGATTTGCTTGACATGAGACTTCATACTTCCAGCTGTGCCATCAAACTTTTGTTATCCATAAGGAAGACAAAAATCTTGTTTCTCAATATTCAATGATGTTGTCAAAGGATATAAGTAATACCATTACCATAAAAGATACGACCAAAGTACGGTATCTTAATCTTTTCCACTACAAATACGGCATTAGACTTTGTTCCACTACAAATACGGCTTTATTATTGAAGGCTCAGCATGTTGAACGACAGGATATTACGAGCTTGTTCCGATGGGCCTTACCTGGTTTTGATAAACTGTAAAAGGAGAATTGTGAATTTCAATGTTCATTAAGTACGTTTTTTTTCCGTTCATATTCTGTTCTGTAATTATACATTTTGTCTGTCAGTATTTTAAAAAGCTGGTGTAAGTGTGATTACTTCCAGGTTTATGGGGGTGAGATCCCCATGGAAGACGGGAAAGAAATGACTGTTCAATAGATTAATTAAAGCTACCATGTATACAGTACCTTCGAATTAATAGCTCAATGTTGGTAACAAGACATGTGCTCTTGGATTGCTCACAAAAGCTCTATACTTATTTTTGGATATAGTGTAAAAAAAAAAAAAGGTTATTGTATGGTAGTGATAGAAACCATGGACATTTTCTAAGTCTTGGTCATGCTTTAATGTTTATAATTTAATTATCTATGTATTATTTATTTTCAAATCTTAACTAAATTTACATTGCCGTCTTCATTTGGTAAGTATTTATTCTATCCAAGGCTAAATTTAGTAATCAGATATTTTTATTTTTTTTTGTAGTTCAAAATAAGAATTTAATTTGTCATACTGATTATATTTATTTATTTATTTTTGTTAAAACTTGGAATATACCTTCTAAGATTTTGTTTCCCGATTCTGGGGGTCTTATTTCGTATTCAAGTCAGAAATTTACGATTGAGTTGAACTACAACGTATTATTTCATAACTATTTAACTATTAACTTTTATTCTAGCGTCTTGTCGTCCATTGAAACACCAGTTTTGTGGAACCACAACACCCGTTCTTCTTCCTAAAGTTGTTTATGCACACCCTGAATCTTGTGGTTTAATTTGAATACCAACGCCCGTTCTTATACTTAAGCCTTATTATCTACATCTAAATCCTACTCTTTAATCTGAGCTACACCCATTCTTATTCTTAAATCCTTGTTATACACATAATCTAACTAAAATCGTCGTTCATTATTTTACTTTTATTATAAAAACTGACTTGCATTGTTAGCTTAGAAGTTTTATTTAAAAGTAACCTAAATCTCCTAACCTGGCCGAACCTCGTAAAATATTATGAGGCGGCAGAAAGTATCGTTAGCATCTAGGGTACCCAACCGATGAAACCATGCATTCTAACCTTTATAAGTATATAGATAAGTAAGAATAGTGTGGTTGATATTCTATATTGACGACAAGGTTGATGTTTAGTTTCGTTCTGGGTACACAATTCACTGTGATCGGAAGTTATTGTTATTATTTACTAAGATGAACTACAACACCTGTTCTTATCCCTAGAGCCTTGTTATCTGCATATGAATATTATTAAGATGAATACAACATACATTCTTATTACTAAGCCTAGTTATACAGATGAACTACAACACCCATTCTTATTACTAAGCCTATTTATACAGATGAATACAACACACATTCTTATTACTAACCCTAGTTATAAAGATAAATGTAAAGGTTTAGATGGAGATAACAAGGCCCTTGGTATTAGGATGGATCTGGTAATTCAACTTGAAATGGAGATTCCTTTGCGAACACTGCATCCTTAAGTTAAGAACTGGATGTTTTAACAGAACAAATATTAAGAAATCTAGATGAGAAAACAACGATGAGACTTAAACACTGAAAATATTACTCTAGAGATACGGAAAAGTATTGAGGTCCAACTTGAGCAATAAGAGGCAGGTCTGTATAGCAAGACTTTAGGACTAAACATAGGAGCTGTAGTTCATCTTAGTAAACTTCAGATCTGTGTAACTAGGTTTAGGAATAAGAATGGGTGTTGTAGCTCATCTTGATAAGATTATAATTTATATAACGAGGCTTTAGAGAAAAGAACAGGTGTTGTAGCGCATCTTCGTAACATCCAGATCTGTATAAATAGGCTTAGTAATAAGAATGGGTGTTGTAGTTCATCTATATAACTAGGGTTAGTAATAAGAATGTGTGTTGTATTCATCTTAATAATATTCATATGCAGATAACAAGGCTCTGGGGATAAGAACTGACGTTGTAGTTCATCTTAGTAAAATTCAGATCTGTATAACTAGGGTTAGTAATAAGAATGTGTGTTGTAGTTCATCTGGGCAAGTTTGCCCAACTCCATTTTGTCACATAATTTACAACGCAGATTCCATCCTCCTATATGTATATATATATCTAAGGCTTTGCTTTCCAGGTGATTTTCCCCGTTTTAATCGCATCACAACTGAAACCTCATTTTATAATCCAGAATCTTGTTAGGTCAGTTGCAATGCAGACTTCATATTTTCATCTAAAGTTTAATCTTCAGAGTTGTTGTTTGTAATTAAGCACAAAGCTACACAATGGGCTATCTGTGCTCTGCCCACCCCGAGTATCGAAACCCGGATTCTAGCGTTGTAAGTCCGCAGACATACCGCTGTGCCACTGGGGGGGCAATTTTCAGAGACTGAATCATGATGTTTTTGTTATACTGCAGGGTCCATCCTAATATACATATATATATATAGTCATATTTATAAATAACCTGGACTTTGTTATATTTAGTTGCATGGCAACTAAAATTCAAATTTTGGTATTTTAGCAGCATCTGATTTAATTCTTACACATGATATTTCTTTTTGTTTTAATTATCCCTTAATGTTTATTCTGATACGAAGTTCATGTTACCGTAAGTAAACCGTTATAAAGTTATTATTATAGAAATATTTCCTGCTACATATAGACTAAGATATAAATTTAATAGTGATTTTATTTTCTTCATCGGTCTAATTGTCCTGTATATCAATAAGAATCAGCTTTGTCTCTGGACTAACTGGAACTGCTTGGGTTCGAGAATGTTTAATCAAACTTGTGATGTAGTTCTTCGTTTAACTTTTACTGTTATTCTGAGTAGTTTCAAGAAGTCGTTCTACAGACTTGATTAAACAAACGCGACTTTGGTCCAAGAAGATGTGTAATAACCAGTCCACAATAGAAATAAAAGAATCTTAGTGTACGTAGTAGACAATAACTTACAGTGTGTATATATGTGTGTGTGTGTGTGTGCAGAAACGCTTAGCTGACATTTTGTTGAAGCTCCAATACTGAACAATAATGTGAAATTTCATTGTCTATTGTTGGATGTTTTTGGCGTTGTTTGTAGTTAATGAAAACATAAAAGTTGGGTGGGATAAAAACAAAACTTTCTGACATTAGTTAATCCGTAAGAAAACTGATGGATTAGAAAAGTCACGAAAACATGCAAGCCTAGTCTTTCTGTTGACTGTTTATCTTGATTTAGATAAAACACACACAAATACATATACTCTTCTATGAACCAGTACACATTTCCGAGCAACAACAAAAATATACTTCTAAATGTCCCTGTTGTTGTATTTTCTGGATAAGAACCTTAACTGAGCCGTATTTTGGATAAAAACGAAAGTCGCGTATTATGAGTAAAACATGCACCATTCCGTATCGATATAGCATAATATAAAAAAGAAAGTTATTTAAAAAATGGAAAACTAGCATGAATAAAATACTAACAAATATACTGGGCCTAGTGGTTAGGATGATTGACTCGTAGTCCGAGGGGTCGCGGGATCGAAACCCGGCGCTGAACATGCTCACCCTTTGAATCGTGGGGGGGTGGGGTATTATGATGTGGCCATTAAAAGTGTAGCCGAAGAGTTGAAGGTGGGTGCTGTTTGCTGGCTGCCTCTCTTTTGGTTAGCAATTGAAAATTAAGGATGCTTGCCTTAGTAGCTTTGTCACGAAGAAGCTATTCACTGTTTATATAAGATGGCTTTATTGCTAATTATCAAATAGTAAAAAAAAACAATAATTTGTTGCAGATAATTATATATTGTTACTGAAAGTTTCAACATTCGTCGGCTTTTGGTTATATCTGATTTGATTTACCAATATACTATTTTTAAGAGGGTTCGTGGTGGTAAAAACAAACATAGAACACGGTGGATCACAAGGCTGGTAAATTGCATTCAAAATAGCCAATAAAACCCTAATCCTTTCGAGTCTCAATAGGGGGATCTATCGTCTTTAGGGGTAACAGTTTTCAGCTGTCGAAAGCACGAATGTTTTTTGGGTGTTGTATTTTTTTCTAATGTGGCAACAAATCCTTAGTATTATTGTGCATCAGATATTTTGGGTTTCGTATAATTATATTAATAGTCTCCCTAAAACTAGTGGCCTAGTTACTTGTTACCACGCTGGATTGGGAATTCCATGGTCCCAAGTTCGCGTCCCGTTGCAGCAAAATCGCCCTCCGCACATTGTGACCATGGGTACACATGATGATCATATTCAACTATTCAATTAGAGTATCCAATGAGTTAGCAATGGGTGTTGTTGACTAGGCTATCAATTCAAAATTAAGGACAGTAGTGTAGATAGCCCTTGTGTAACAAGCACACCCTTTAGCTTAAAGGAAGGGTACTACCCCTTGAGACTACTACCCCTACAAAATGACAGGAAACCGCTTCTTAAACTTAAAACGAATGAATTAGAGCATTTAAGCATCAAGTACAAGATATTGACCTATTTCCTCTAGCCCTCCAGTGTGTCTGCGGAGATACAACGCTAGAAACCGGGTTTCGATACCCGTGGTGGGCAGAGCAGAGATAGCTCTTTGTGTAGCTTTGCGCTTAACTACAAACAGATAAACTTTCTTCTGTCTTTTTACTCTGTCAGTAGAAACACACGCACACTCAATCACAAAATTTAAAAAGTACAATACTAGGGTGATGTCTTCAGACAAAGATCGTTCGACCAAAATTACGTACAATGTGTTATGTTTAGGTCTGGAAAAATGTCCCCAAACGAAAACAGATTTAATCAAGAACGTCCTTGACTTATACTATTTTTATGCCCCCCTCTCAGTGGCACAGCGATATGTCTTCGAACGCTAGAAACCGGTTTTCGATATCCATGGTGAGCAAAGCATAGATAACCCATTGTGTAGCTTTGTGCTTAATTACAAACAAACAAATCTATTTTACGTGTCACATAAAATCGTCTGCCATGTCAAAATTTCTATCAACCTGCCACCTATGATCAGAGTTAATGATATTAAACAGTAACAGATGTAAATCTAGAGGAGCACTCAGTTGAGCGCATACCTTCGCCATGCAGCGTTGATCATATTCGGCTCTCAAAAAATATGAAAATGTGTCCGTATGTCCGTCGTTATCAACAATTTTTGACAGAACAATGAGAAATAATATTCTACATATGTCCACCAAGTTTCATCAAAATCCGATCATTTTTGATTGAGCTATAGAGCAAAAATAGTGTGAAAAATCGGTTCCCATGTTAACAGATAAGAATTTATTTTTGTGACCTTGACCCTCCAAAAACTAAACACTTTTAAGCTGGGTCATTATCCAAATGTATACCAACTTTCGTCCAAATCCATTCAGCCGTTCGAGAGGAAGCTTGTTGACTAGCACACAAACAAACACACACACACACGCAGTGGTGAAAACGTAACTTTCGTTACCTTCTGT